ATCTGAGTTGAAAACCATAAACAAAAAACATAGAAAGCAGCCAAATTCTTCTCAACTAGTAAAACTGCCATGCTCTAGTGAAGCTGAATAATCCCATTTTTTTCCCTTCTTAAGGGTAATCTCCACGTTTATGTTACTTCTGCCAACTCCAAATACGACATACAGCTGAAAAAATCCTGGAAGAGGCCCATCTTATCCCCCAGGGATGCTGAACAGAGAGGAGACGGGGCAGTTCTGACCCTGGATGAAAGATAGTCTGATATTAAAGATTCTTTGCTTAAGGCACAAATGTACCTGTCTGTGACTTTTTTAATGGCACATTTTTAGTGGCATGTAGCATCATCTTTTATGAACGAGTGTGCGAGAGGCCTTGTTATGACCCCCACAGGGACTGTGACAGCACATTAACGAGGGGAGAGCAGTACGGAGAAGGCAAGCAAAGGTGAACACCTCGCTATTTTAGGAGTTTGAAATAATGAAGGCCACTTCTGATTCCTGTATCACCAAACCTCAGGGAAGGGCTGAGAGTTTATGGGATTTGCAGGGGGCAGGGATGCTAGCAGAGGTATACGGGATGGAAAACTCTTGTTCATATTTTGTCTCTGGTTCTTGTGTAATTTCAGAAAAACTCCTTTGCTCAGTTTCCTGTATTTTCATCCCATTTGCTTCTTTACCACCAGTACCCTCAAAACACCCTGAGGAAGGTACCCACACAGATAGGTAGTGAAATGGCCCAGGGCAGACCCTGCAGCTCTGACATCAGATCTGTCCTGAAAGGTTCATAGAGATCCACCTTAGAATGTGCTGGGAGATGAGGAGGGGCTCTTCCCATTTTTCCTTCTTCCTCCCAGTGGCAAACTCTCTTCAAGACCAACCCAGCTCAACTGTCCACTCCTTTGAGAAACCCCGCCTCTCTCTGGGGCTCAGGGTCCTCTGGAAACAGCTTTACTGAAGATACTGGCACGCTGTCTGGTTTGGCTTTAGGGTGTCTCTCTTCTTTATCAAAAGCTCTGTGCGCCCCCACTCTCCAAAGCCTGGCATAAGTGCTTTAATAGTAATCAATGAATGAAGTAAAGTTTTTACTCTTCAGGGCACACACCTAGCAAGGGAGTCTTGTTTTTTTTAAAAGTAAGGATAAACAGAAGAGAAGCAATTCTTCGATGATGTTGACTATGTTTCAAAACACAATTTGTTATTCAGAATTTTAAAATGCTATTGAGATTTACTCTTCTCTCTATTCCGATTTTAAACAGGATTTGCCACCTTTACTCCAAGCAGACCTAGGTGAAAACAAAGTGCTCCTTGTGGACTAACTTCCCCACACTCTGCAGGTAATAGTCTCGTTACATCCACCCCTAGGGAAGAAGAACCTTGGCATTCTCTTATTACTGAATTACTCACATTTTTTTCATCTAGGGACTCAAAACCTCTGGGTTCCCTTCCCTATCACTTATTGTGTGTCACTTTGTGCCCTAAATGAATTTGGTATAAAGCACACTCCCGGGGCCTTACACTGTTTTCTAGTGGCTTACTGGTTCAGCACTTGCGTTCGGCCATATGCTGTCACTTGCTTGTCTGGTGGGTCATGGCTGCTAACAGACAAGGGCTGCAAACACACAGTTCCCTCTGAAAGCACTTAGTTGAACATCATGCAACAACCAACCCCTCTCGATGATCATAATCAGTCCGCACCTTACACCCTGTACCGACATTACCTCCTCCTTCTGACAGAACATGGGCTCCTCACCAACCGTCGGAAAACACAGGGAGCATTAAAACACCTAACCCTTCCTGGCCCTCACTCCCAACTGTCTGTCCTCATGTGCTCTCCTCTTCACCCCAGGAGCCAATACATTCCTTTTGGCACGCAGGTGTCCCAGACTTACTGTGACAATTTCTTACACAGCTCCCTATACCTTAACCCTCCTCAATCTTACAAATTCAACAAGACCGTTTTCTTCAGTCTTCTGGAGACTATTCAATAGTTTACCTCCAGGATAAAAGAACATGATCGACAAAACTCCAAATACACCAATGGCAAACTTCCTCTTTACACTCTGAACAGTGTCTTTTTAAATCTTTGCATCCCTAGCATTTACCGAAATACTGGCAGACATGTGCTGCAGCATGCAAATGTAAGTATGTTCTATGTACTGGGAATCTACCCATCTACTTACCACCTACCTACCTTAACTGATCTCGTTTCCATGCTTGCCCTTCTATAATCCGTGCTCCAGAGAGCACTCAATGATCTTTTGAAGATATAATTCAATCACTTCCCCTCAGAGTAAAATCCAAAGTCCTTACCATGACCTATAAGACAATATATGAACTAATCTCCGGCTGTCTCTCTGAATGTACTTTTTCCCATTTTTTTTCCCTTACTAACTCCACTATACTCATCTTGGTCTCTCTGCTTTCCTTAAATGTGCCAAACACACTCCAGCTTAGCACCTCTGTTTTTTTTGCTGTTGCCTTATGGCTCTCTCCTTTCATATCATCCAAGTTTCTGCTCAAAGGTTACTTTATCAGAAAGGATCACTCTGCTTTATTTCTTCTCCATAGGACTTGCCTCCACCTGATAGGTTATATGTTTAGTTATCCTTCTGCTTTCTATCCTTCTCATGCCCTACTTCATGGGAGTCAAGACTGGAGTGTCCTTTCATCACCATATTCCCATTGCCCATCCAACAGGCATCGCAGGAGCTCAAAATGAGTGTGGAAGGAAAGAACAGTGGATCTTTATATGTGTTCTAAATCTTAAATCTGTTAGTTCTCGTGGTCCTGCTCTGTGCCTCACGTTATGTCACGCTAGGGTCTATCATTGTCCAAGTCTCTCAGCTCTGGAGTTGATGCAGAAAGTTAAAGAAAGATAACAGACTGCTCAGAGTCATAGAATGTTAGTCTGGAAAGGGGCTTAGAGATCATTATCTTACGGAGGAAGAAATGAGGCCCAGTGAGGGACAGCAGCTTGCACAGGACACCTAGAAAACCAGCAGCAAGAAAGGGGAACCCTCCTACACTGTTGGTGGGAATGCAAGCTGGTGCAGCCACTCTGGAAAACAGCATGGAGGTTCCTCAAAAAGTTGAAAATAGAACTACCCTATGACCCAGCAATCATACTACTAGGTATTTACCCTAAAGATATAAACGTAGTGATCTGAAGGGGCATGTGCACCCGAATGTTTACAGCAGCAATGTCTACAATAGCCAAACTATGGAAAGAACCCAGATGTCCATCAGCAGATGAATGGATAAAGAAGATGTGGTGTATATATATACAATGGAATACTACGCAGCCATCAAAAGAGATGAAATCTTGCCACTTGCAATGACGTGGATGGAACTAGAGGGTATTAGGCTGAGTGAAATAAGTCAATCAGAGAAAGACAACTATCATATGATCTCCCTGATATGAGGAATTTGAGAGGCAAAGTGGGGGGTTTGGGGGGTAGGGAAGGAAAAAAATGAAACAAGATGGGATTGGGGGGATTGGGAGGGAGACAAACCATAAGAGACTCTTAATTTCAAAAAATAAACTAAGAGTTGCCTGGGAGAGGGGGGTATGGAGAGGACGGTTAGGTTATGGACATTGGGGAGGGTATGTGCTATGGTGAGTGCTGTGAAGTATGTAAGCCTGATGATTCACAGACCTGTACCCCTGGGGCTAATAATACCTTATAATGTTAATTAAAAAAGAAAAGAAAAGAAAAGAAAAGAAAAGAAAAGAAAAGAAAAAACCAGCAGCAAAGGTGAAACTGCTCTCTGTCTTTCATTCCCAATCTGGGACTCTTATCTCTACATCACATACTTCTCAAATGTTCTACATTCCATCTGGTCATTTATTAAATGCATTCAATGACAATGATTTAAATATGCAAAGGGAATTTATATAACAGCAAAGGCCCGAGCTCCACAACTCAAAAGTGCTAGTTTCTCTGGAACAAGTTACCTGACGACGCCCTTCAGGACTCTGCTGGGAAACTGTGTTCTGAGCTTCTGTCTGAAATTATTGCTAAACTCTCAGCTGATTCATACATTATTATATTTCCTCTTAGATTCTCTTCTGTGAGGAAGCAGAAGAATACGGTTTAACAAACACTGACTATTTTATTTTTGCTTATAGTGCAGGTGAATTGAGTTTAAAGATATTTCCTTATATATTCAATTGCATTCATGTATCACAAAAGTCCCAGAGAAAGTACTTAACCCCCAAAAAGGTGATAAAACCATGACTGCAACTCTACCCGTGATCTTATTTAAGGAATCCTTTCTACTTTTTAAAAAGCCCTCCTTTCTCTGAGTCAATGTATGTGAGAAACAATTCTTGAAGTACTGGTGAGTGTCAGATTCTATACTAGTATAATTCAGCCAGACGTCCTTCTAATGGAAACTATACGTTTCCTTACAGATCAAGAGTCATTGTCAAGAAACCTTAGCACAGAGTTCTAGTGGGGTTACACGTAGCACACTAAGATGAAGTCCATTCTAAGTACAGCTATATAAACAGTCAAGACACTAAAACTGTGCTGAATACATACTCTTCATCCTCGTCCAGGTCATATCATGCCCCGTTCCCCAACACATGAAATGACAATATTGGAGAAAGGTGTTTTTTTTCTTTCTAAACATATAGAACTTATACATCCAAATGAGTAGGGCCGTACTCTTTAATCACCTCTGGGAGTCATATATGCATTCTACCAAGGTCACCATTACACAGATCTTCTCTGGAATTTAGTCATAGAGGGACTCTGGGAACCTGTATTTTTAAGAAGCTCTCCAAGAAAGTTTTATACAGGTGATGTGTAAGAAACAGCACCTCAGAATAGTCTGTTCACAAGCCATTCAAGGATATCAAAAGGACTTTAGAGTTAAGTTGGTGTACACATACACGTAACACATTGGAGGGTTATTTTTTTTTTTTTCAGAATCTTCATTCTTCCTGATACTATATTATTCCTGATATACACAGAAGCAGCTATTTGCAAACGACATACCTCCATAAAAGAGATCCCCAAACTCCAGACATCGGAATGGATTCCATACTGCTCCCCTGAAATTCTTTCGGGCTGTAAGAAAACAGAAGCTGGTGAGTTGATAGAGCTACTCCAGGAGACACTAACACGTAATCACTAAGGCAGGGACCCACCAACATTTTGTGGCACCTTATGAAGCACAAAACAATTTCGTGTATGTGCATGTGTGTGCGTGTCTGTGTCGGTGTAGGTGTATTACACAGGTAACATACAGAAACAACAGAGGTAATAGGGATAGATAATCATCTCACTGAATCCTCACAAAGTCCCTGTGAAGAGAACTTTATTACCTCTATTTTACAGATAAAGAAAATGGAGGTTTGGATTGGTGAAAATGGAGGCTCAGATTGGCCAAGTCCTCAGCTGGGAAATGAGCTGAGACTTGGATCCAAGTCCAATCCCTCCAAATTCAGTGGTTTCAGCTGTGAAGTGACAAACTATACAACATAATATAATGTTATCACTTACTTGCACTTTTGAGAGATGGGTCTGGATAACTAGGGATTCTATTATTTTTAATTTTTAACTTTTCATTTGGAAATAGTTTCAAACTTACAAGAAAGCTGGAAAGCTAAAAAAAAAATCGCAATTTCCTTTGCCCAGATTCACCTATGGTTCAACATTTTATTCCATTTATCAGGGTTTCTTTTGATATAAACCAAGGAACAGTTTGAAAGGTCCATCTGGGACAACTGGTCCTCCGTGCAAGACATGTACCAATACGCGGTCTAGAAAGCCACCACAGGCACACTCTCTACTTCAACAAGAATAGTTCCATAGTGAAGTGGGTGCAGCCTGGTGTCTCCATCCCTCCAGGATCTAGCATTCAGTATTGTACTTCGCAGCAATCTTTTGAGTGAACACAGGAGCACAGGAGTAAGAGAAACCAAAGTCTCATGAAGGTGCAGTAGTCGTTGAAGGTTACAGAGCTGGACATGGGAGGCTTGGGATCATAACCCATGCCTCCTGGCCCTCAGGGCACCATTCTGTTCGTGGGTCCACCCATGGAGTTCCTGGCGGCAACCAATGGCATCAGCCTTCGGGAGCTTTCATGGGAGTCCTGAAGAGTATTTGGGGCCAGGATCAGCCTGGTCCACTGCACATGGAGGAAGGAGGTATCCACCAACCAGCAGCAGAGGATACACCAGGGGAGCGGAAGATGTGAGCCCGGTGCTCTCAGGTCATTGGCACAGTCCTACATCTCAGGGAGTTGGTGTAGCTGGGACCTAGAATTTGTGACCTACTTTCTGCCCACACCTATCAGGCTACCTCAATATACTTATTGCCTTCTCCTGGGACCACTTGCCATAAAATTACATAAAGCCCTGTCCTGGGGTAGCAGGATGGATCGTCTTATTTCCCTCTCTTTATTTATTTCTTTAATTTATAAAACCCCTTTCCCACCAAGAACAATTCTTCCCCTGGGCCAAACGCCATCTGACCACCTCTCTCAGCTGCTAAGAGACACGGTCATTCCAATTCCTCAGTACTTTTACTTTTAAGTTCAAATCCCCTACGCCATCACCTCTGAAGCTCTAGTTCATACATGAATGAACCCATTATCCAACCCCAGCTAGTTCAATACGTGCTAGGATGAAAGCAGCTGATTAGTTAGAGGAATATCACCACCACCACCACCACCATCATCATCAACAAGACTACCGTGTGCATTTACTAAAGAATTTCCATATGCTTGTCATAAGTGCTATTCATGCATGTCTCATTTCAGAATCATAAACACCCATATTAGATTGGTACTATTACTATCCCCTTCTAAGAGATAAGGAAAAGGAGGCATAGAGAGACCTAGTTTGCACCCACTATATAAAGATAGTAATAACTATCATGTAATGACCAAACACTGGACTAGATACTTTGCATCCTCTACACCTTAGGACAATCTCGCAAAGTTAGATATTACTGCCTTTACTTTATAGATGTAGAAACTGAGGCTTCATAAGATTAAGTGATTTGCTGAAGTCCAGAGCTGTGGGTCAGCAGTAGGCATATTCGTTTAGGAACACAGCCAGGATTCAAACCCAGGTATGTTTGACTGCAAAATGAGGGCTCTTTCTAGTGTGTCAAACTGCCCTCAGAACCAGAAGTCAGAAGAGCCACACACTAATCTCGATGTGGTCAGTATTTCTCAAAATACAGCCTTCAGTTCATGTTTTTAAAAAAGATTTTATTTATTTATTTGACGGAGAGTGAGAGAGTACAAGCAGGGGGAGGGGGGCAGAGGAAGAGGGAGAAGATGTGGGACTTGATCCCAGGACCCTGAGATCATGAGCTGAGCCGAAGGTAGGTGCTTAACTGACTGAGCCACCCAGGCACCCCCTTCAGTATTCATTTTAAAAAATAATTCCTCGGGATGCTTGGGTGGCTCAGTGGGTTAAGCATCTGCTTTCAGCTCAGGTCATGATCCCAGGGTCCTGGGATCGAGTCCCACATCAGGCTCCTTGCTTGATGGGGTGCCTGCTTCTCCCTCTGCCTGCCACTCCCCCTTCTTGTGCTCGCTCTCTCTCTCTCTCTGACAAAGAAATAAAATCTTAAAAAAAAAAAACTTGAAAAAATTTTAAAAATAAAAAATAATTTTTTCGGCTGATTCTTTGGTATACTCAGCCTCAGTCACTAAACATTTCCACATTCCCTGCAGAGGCAAAGACCTGTCTTCCTCCTCTCTGCTTAGTGAACATTTCTTTTACAAAGGCCCTGCTCATGGGTCACCTGTTTTTTGGTGAAATGTTCCTCTATTTTTCAGGAAGAATTAACAAATTCTTGCCTCTGTCCTTCATGAAAATGTCGTTTGTGTCTTTAATATTAATACACTGCACTGTGTTGTAACCACCCGATTACTAGCCTGTTTCTCCTAAGAGGCCAAGAAAGTGTCTTACTCATCTCATACCTAGTACCACGGCAGGCACACAGCCGGGGAGCGGTCATGGTATGCTGTCTTGAAGGGATGTTATACGTGTTTACTGCACATTTGGTTTAAAGCATGTACCAATTATTAAGTCCCCTGGAGTGTTCTACTAATATAACTTCCCCAATATTATTGCTATTCATGCCCATCAAGAACATCTAGCAAACAAGAAAATCCTAAAATCCTCCAGAATTCTTGAAAAAATAACCAGATGGCGGCTTCCTCCCTGTTCCTCCTGTCCTTACTCTCTCCTGTCCTTCATTCCCCTCGCTGACAGTTACCACTCTCTAGCACTCACGCAGAGAAGAGAACAAGCAAACAAAGGCAAGGGGAGTCCAGATACAAAAATACTTTGGCAGGATCAACTACAAGATTAAATACTTTCATAACATTTGCCCACTGAACTATCAAAACAAATGCAAACTGGAAGCTGAAAATAGAGCATGAAAAAACTGGGGTGTCTGGGTGGCTCAGTCGGTTGAGCATCCGACTCTTGGTTTTTGGCTCAGGTCATGATCTCAGGGTTGTGAGACTGAACCCTGTGTCTCGTTTCATGTTGGGTGTGGAGCCCAAGACTCTCTCTCTCCCTCTGCCCACCCTCTCCCTGCCAGCTCACGCTCGCTCTCTCTCTCTCAAATAAAAGAAATCAATCTTCAAAAAAATAAAGCATAAAGCATGAAAAAATTAAATTAAATTAAAAAAGAAAAAAATCAATGGTAACGGTCACAGGTGGCAAGTAAGAGGCTCCTTAAGGATGAGATTCTGACAACCACTCACTGGAGAAATCATCCTTGCACTAAACTCACAAAATGAGATCACTGTTGTGATGCTGTGCTCAAGCATGAATGCTCAGTGAAAGTAGGCAGCCAGCTCTCCGGGTCTACCTGAAGAACTGGTACAGCAGATCAAGACTGGGAAATGTGCCCAGGCCCCTGAAACAGACACGGCCACAAGATGAGCCCCAATTCACTCTGAATTTAGGGAGCCAGGACTTGATGGCCTGAGGCTGCACAATTCAAATCTGTTCTCGCACTTGAAGCCAAGGTGGCCTGCCCTGTCCTCTCCCATGTCAAACAAAACAAAACAAAACAAAACAGAACAAAACACAACACCAACCATCGGGTACCACACTACTGATGGAAGATCTGTGATGGACATTTTGCAGTTAAAAATGAAAAGCTGTGTTACTCTCTGACATGGCAGCTGTCACCAGTGCGGGAAGCTAAATAACAGGAAAAACAGGACTCCTGTCTCCAGCACTTACTTCTGCACTCAGGTTTAAGGTGGTGGTGGTGGTGGGGGAAATTCTGGTCTGTTCTTCCTGAGAACAGTAGGGAGTGGTGGTGGTATGAAAAGCAGAGTTTATAGAGGATCTGAAAGGGTAACACGGCACTCCTTCCTGCCACCCTCTGGGGCTTGTTATTTACCCCAGACCCATGGTTTGCTGACTCACTCCTGAATCATCTCTATGTACAACAGGATTCACTGGTCAAAAGCAGTATGCACAAAGTATGCACAAATATTTTAGGTTAGTAAGCAGTCAAAATATGTATCACAAACAAGGGAGAATTCTTTTTTTTTTTTTTTAAGTTGGCCAGATCCCCATTGGTAGTAGAACATACTGGTTAGCCTAGGGTTCCGAGGTCAGAATGCTCTAACTCTATCTTCCACACCATGAATTCTCTCTTCTGCTATGGCCAATATGCTACCAAGTAGTGAGTTTTTACATCTTGATCTAGTAGTTTTGTTTGAGATGTTCTCAATCTACTACGTCACTTTTAAAATCTGTGATGTGAAGAGTGTGTGTATCTGTTGTTCCTGCTGGTTCCTCTTCATGTTGCCTTGTTTCCTTGTGTGCCTGCTTTCTGTTGACTACTTGCCAGTTTTTGCGCTTGAAAACATTCTGGAGAGATTCTCTGAGCCGTAAGGTAGTGTGCCCACCTCAAACCAGGTTCTTAGCATGAAGCTCCTTTTCCAACTCATGCCATGAATACAAATACTCAGTAAATCTGTGTCAGAGTTGGTCTATGGCTGCAACTTTCCCCCTTTTCCTTTTCCCCTGCTTCTCTGTGTGGCTTTGAGAGGCCTTCTTTTTTGTTCCCTGGGACTGGGGGAGGAGGAGCAGCCACAGCTTTGGCTCTGGTTCGCTCATATACCGAGGGTGAGCCCTTTGGATCTCCCACATGATGGGGAGAAAATCTCCTCTGAGATCCGTAGGGATCTCCTCCTCCTCTGAGACCCTCTGCCTTAGGAGGACCCCAGACCATTCATGGCTCTCAGGAAGAAGTAGGTTTGGTGCTCCAACATTCTGCTTTCCCCTCTGTTGCAGGATTCCATCTGAAAATTGTCCTGGGAGAATTGCCGTTGTCATTATAGCTCTTCAGTGCATTTGAGATGATTTTTAAAGTAGTTTACCTAGTGTTTTTCTTTTTTCTTTTCTTTTTTTTTTTTATTTGACAGAGAGAGAGAGAGAGAGAGAGAGAGAGAGAGAGATCACAAGTAGGCAGAGAGGCAGGCAGAGAGAGAGGGGGAAGCAGGCTCCCTGCTGAGCAGAGAGCCTGATTGCGGGGCTCGATCCCAGGACCAGAGATCATGACCTGAGCTGAAAGCAGAGGCTTAACCCACTGAGCCACTCAGGCGCCCCTTACCTAGCATTTTTCAATGGAAGAGTTGGTCCAAATAGCCCAACCTGCTGTTACTAGAAACTAGAAGGTGGTGTCCTAATTAAATCTTGACTCTCACTACTTGGTCAGCTCTGAGACCCTGGGATGAATTTACTTCACCTCCGGTTTCCTTATCTATAAAATGAAGACAATAATAATACGTACATTTCATAGGGCTGTGTGAAGATTAAGTGAATCCATTTGATGTGCTTGATTTAGTACCTGTCACATGGGAATGATCGGTAAATGCCAACTTCTTTTTGATCACCACCATTGCCATGACCATCACTGCATGAACATGGCCAATGTCGCTGTATTATGTCATCTGTATAGGTTTCATTCTGGGTGAAGATAATTTCCCAGGACAAGAACAGCCCAGGTAGGGAAAATGTTCAGGAGATAAAAACAGTTGCTTTGATGCACTTCCTTTTTTAAATATTTTATTTATTTGTTTGAGAAAGAGAGAGTGCATGAGCAGGGAGAGGGGCAAAAGGAGAGAATCCCAAGCAGACTCCATGCTGAGCACAGAGCCGAATGCAGGGCTTGATCTCACGACCCTGAGATCATGACCTGGGCTGAAATCAAGAGTCAGATACTTCACTGACTGGGCTAGCCAGGTGCCTCTTGATGGACCTTCTGATCACAAAGCACAAGTATTTGGGTAAGATTTTAATTTTAAAACTTTATTCATAATAAGGTCAAACTTATATTTGATTAAAACATTATAACAGTAAACAAACCACAATGACTGAACAATGGGTTGAAGTTTAGGGACTTCTATCTCTTGTAATCCTGCTGGATGAGATCCTTTTAAAATGAAGCTGAAAATCTTTCTTGCATTGGCTTACAGTGTCTACCAGACCTGAATATCTGCCCCTAAAATGTGGTATGTCCTTGGACTTGTCATCCACTTTCTGATCATGTGGGTCAATGAGGAGGTTAGGCCAGATGACTTTCCAAGTCTCCTGTAAGTCCCACCCCTTAACATGCCCATAAGTGGTTAATTAGTATTATTTTTCATGTCTTAGGATCTTAAGAAACCTGCCCTCTTTCCTAATTATCATTTTCCTATCCCTTACACTTTAGACTATAGAAGAATGAAGTGAGATTGTACATGCAGTGCTATTTCTTTGATTTATTTTCTTTTCAATATTTGAGCAGCCTAGTCGACTGTGTTTGGGTAATGTGGGGGTCTTCTATACCTTACAGTGCAACAGAAATACTTAATGTGAAAAGTTAAATGCTCTGCTTATAATTAGTGAATAAGTCATGCTGGGAAGGCAGCTTTCAAGAACTAATTCGTTCATCTAGCCCTGTGTGTAGGACCAGATATAGAGAATGAGCAGAATAAATCTTGCCCCTCCAAAGATCATGATCTAGATCAGGAGAGATACAGATATAATCTGGACACAGGGAGAGGCACAGCAGCTAGACGTTAAGTCTCTGTAGACAGATGACTTAGGTCTGAATCCTGACTCTGCCACTTATTAGATGTATGAACTCAAGTAAGCTACTTAGCCTCTCTATCCCTGTTTTTTCACCTGTAAGATGAAAATGATATTACTTACCTGATAGGGTTGTTGTAAAGATTTAAAGTTTACATGTAAGAGTTTAAAAGAATGACTGGCACAGGGGTTAAATATTAGTTATTATAAGGGTATCATACCAGCTGATCTCTAACTGTATATTCCCACAACTTATTACTTATCCTCTGCCCTACCTCCCACCCCCAATGACATCACATTATCTTCTATTTCTAAGTCTTTGCTCCTCCCTCCATAGTGATCTTTTAGTAAGTATCCTTTTCACATACTGTTAAGTCATCCAAATCATACACTGTATGCCTTCTTACTCTCTAAATGTATGTTTGATAAACTTAAGTCTTTCTTAGGTCTCACATGATGTAGCCACATATAATGCCAAGCTTCCCATTTCACCCACATCTTCTGTGGCTTCAAATGGTTCCACTGTGACCCGGCTAATAGCATGGGAGCTGCTCAGTCAATGCTGGTTGATGGACCGCTGGTACTCAGTGTCAGATACAGCTTTCTTGGGGATAGGCCAGAGGCTGGCCAACTTTTTCTGTACATGGCCAGAGCATAAATATTTCTCCCTCTGTGGGCCATATGGTCTCTGCTGCAACTGTCACGGCGACTCCACTCAGCCACTGTATCCCCAACGCAGCCACAGCCGACACGCAAACAGAAGGGCGTGGACATGTTCCAATGAAACTTCCCTTTCTGACCTAATTTTTGTATTTTGAAATACATATTGATTCACGAGTGGAAAAAACTATATACAGGGAAGTTCTGTGTACCCTTCACCCAGTCGTCCTCAATGGTGGTTCTATAATAGGATCTTGCGGTATCTCAGGCAGGGATTAAGACCCGTAACAGAATAATGTTATTTCTACCTTCTCCCACCCCAACCTCTGATCTTACACCAGCAAGAGTCTGCTGGACTGAGCAAAGCTCACTGTTGGGCTATGACTCTGGCCTTTCTAGGTATCTTATGCTTTTTACAGCCTGAACTATAAAGCTGAGGACTAGGATTCACTCACCCAAGAAGCAAAGCAATTTTAGCTGTGCCAATCTGAGCTAACATTTCATAATTTTAGTCCTCACATATTCAATTAACAGATGGACGCATCACATTCATCCATAAACGAAAGGGGAAAAAGGTAATTTCTTTATCGTACACCTGGGAAAGACAACTGTAATCTAGATTTGTACATTCAAACATAATGCAATTTAATTATTAGGGCAATTTAAAGCTACTAAAAACATGATGGGTAGATGATAAGTTGTTTCATTTATAGTAGTTTTATTTATTTATTTTTAAATCACAGTGTTCCATAATTCTTTCAAGGACGGAAACTGTGGCATTTGGTAGGGGTTTATTAATTGTGAAAGTGGCTCGCCAATCTCGCTAACCTGGTAGAGCCAAGAGGGCGATTATGTTTTATATAAACAGACACGATGACTTTAGAGGTTAATATTTTTCCACATTACCTAGGAAAATGAGATAGAATGAAATTTCTTTAAAAACCAGGCAAGACAAAAATTAACTATTCTGATACCTCAATAAGAAAAAAAAAGGCTCATCCTGTTCTGAGAATAAGATCCAGAGTTCCATCCATATTAATATCTTTTTATCAAGATAATATATGAACCGAGAATAAGAGCCAGGTTTCCATCCATACTAATATTGCTTAACTTCATATAAAGACTATTGGAAGTAAAACAGACTGAGTAAATCCAGAATCCTCATTTAAAAAAAAAAAAAAAAAAAAAAGGCCTTAAGGTGTTAAAACAAAACTTGGCTCCAAAAATGATACTAGAAAACCTTCCTACTTGTCTCTCCCAACAACCCCTCTTGAAGTGATTGTGGAAACTAAAAAAACAAAAGCATTTGTGCCCCAAATGACTTCCCTTACTTAAAAGGTAGAAAAAAAGAGGAAAGGTTGAAGACAAGTCCACATTGGGTCTTTGAAACAGTTCTGGGCTTCTAATTTTTATATGTGGTAAATTCATGTCAGAGGAATTAATCCGACAGACACGAACCCAACACGTAAACAGAATACAGATTATTACACATTCGAGAGAGAGAATTTCCTGCCCAACCTCTACGTTCAGAGATCCGTAAGTAAGAGTTGGTCGTGTCAAAAATTTAATTTTGATCAGGTAACAAAGCGTGTTTGTATTCCTGGGAAAAAAACAACCGATCTTATCAACTGACATTTTGGGATACTTGAGGGGTTAATTAGGTAAACAATGTGGCGAAGCGGCCCATGGGCTCTAAGGGGCCATTTTTCTGTAGGATTAAACTTCAAAACTCAGCAATTTCACACTCGAACCAAATAGTTAAAGTCAACTAAAAAGATAAGTTGGCAGCTCCTGTAAAAACCTCAATGCCTTTTAGAAAGATTTAAAAATCAGATCATGACTGGATTGACTTTGTAATTTATGATCTGTTAGGATAAAGCTGTTGAATTAATTCAAGAATTCTACATTACCAAGTACATAAAGATAAAGATGTGGGTTTTAAATGTTATTTTTGCATAAGTTTACTTACCGCCATATAAGCGTTTGTTCCAACATACGTCTTGGCTATAGAATTCACCAGCTATGAGACAAAACAGTCTGTTAGAACAATATAAAGATAATGTGGAAATAAAATGGGCAATTATTCCTCATTTAACCTACAATCATCATTTCTATAAATCAACTAAAAATTATGTAAAAGGGAACAAATTTATCTACAAAGGCATTAAAAATGATTAAATCTCTCTTTTCTTTTGAATGTGATTTCCAATTTAGACAAGCACAGCATTACAGTTTATAGCAGATAACCTTAAACAATTCACTTAAGCAGGATGCTTATCGCTTTAGTACCCCAAACCCGCCTGATATAAAAAGTCAATTTGAAGTAGAATCTGAACACACTCATTTTTTAGTCAGATGGCTCAAGATGTGAATGAAGCCTGTGCTTTGCGAGAATGGAATGAACACTAAATACGCTGGAGGGATAACAGACTTTGACAGCCCATAATACAACGATGACCTTCGCTTTGGTCTTCGTGTTTGGCTGGGAGTAAAGGTGGCTGCAATTCAAATCAACATCACAGCGCACTCATGGGTCACTATCACTGGGGTTCTCAGGGGAGGCCCAAAATGGAAATTAATTAAAATTTGTGCTGCACATTGTAATGGCCCTCCACCATTGTTGCTCCCAATATTAATTTTTATTGTGGGCCAGTTGGGCTCCCCAGGCACAGCTCCCACTCTGCCCTCCCTTTTGTCTGGTCAAAACGCTTTCATATCAAAGCTGCATATCAATGAAGTTTGCTATTCGTAAGTAGTAATTACAATATCAGCAGTTTTTACTGTCATTAAACAATGAACAATCATATTCTGATGAAGGAAACGCGCTCAGAGATTAAAAATGAATAACACATTCCCAGCCGAGGAGATGCACAGTTCTGTTTGTCTGGCAGCTAGGTGATTTTTCAATCCAAAAAGTAAGACTGAAAATAAAAAGTGAATGTTGCAGAAAGGACAACAACCTGGGAGGGGGGAAAAAAAAAAAAAGAGACCTACCTGAGTGCTAACTCCAAAATCACACAGCTTGACCTGTCCTCTTGTGTTTACTAGCATATTGGAGGGTTTTACATCTAAAGAGGAATCAGAAAAGTCCAGGTAACTAATTCTGTATTTTCAGCGCGTGTTTTCAAAAAGCACATGTGCACACCATACCATATTGCAGAAATGACATCATCTGTTCAACCCGGAATTCTAATCACAAATTTAATGCAAAGCATTTTATCTGGAGGCAAAATGTAAGGTCCTAACTCCTTCACTTCCAACCATTTCTGGTTTCTATGGAAGCAAGGGTTTATTTCAACTGAAAGTCAAATAAAATCTTGGCTTCCCACAACAGTAAATGCATCCATCATCCTATCCCCAGGCTTTCAGGAAAAGTAGGTGGATAAGAAAATGTAATCTTCTTGCAAAGAATTTGCACAAAAAGGTTTAGCTTTGCTGTCGATGTGAAACTACTCCTCCCATTTAAGAAGCAGTAAGGCCAAAGGGAAGCCAACAAGGAAAAAAAAATCATTCCTATGTTGCTGGTAACAGGTCATATCTGAATGAAGCAATGACAAAAGAACGTAGTCTTGTTATCTCCTGGTTTTAGGTGACAAATGCTATTTCAGATAACACTCAGAAATTGGTCTAAAAGGCATGTGGATGTGTGTGCATATATGCACGTATCGATCTTTGTTTAATTTCTCCTTCTCTTCCCTTACATCCCTTTTGACTGCTGTTAGAGTTAACAAAAGAAGTGACATAGCTTTTGCCAAGGAAGTCAGTTGCTAAATAATGACACAAAGGGTTTCTGCGAAGCATTGTCAGTGACAGCAATGAGCCATTTCAGGAATTCAGGGAGCCCACCAAAACCATCCCAGCAGGACAAGAGCACACTACTGTCGATGGTACAGAGTAGCACCTGCTTCAACGTTTCATCTTCAATGGCAAAAGTGGTCTCGAATGGACAACTTGTTATATTTAATATACCATGTGACCTGAATTACCCCAAAATGGAGCAAGAGACTCAATTTTTTCATGTGACATTAAAAAAACATGTGAGTCAGTCCACCCTGACCCTCCACTTCACAAAAGGTAACCCCAACAAAGAATCTTGCCAATAGCAGGTACTTAATTCAAACTTCAAGTTCAAACTCAGTAACCAACAATTACTGAAGTCTACTTCCTATGTGACAGGCGATGTGCCAGGCACTTTCGCGTACACGCGCTCATTTCATGTTGCCTGACTGACGAAGAACTTTCTTTCACTGACTACTATATTCCCAGCCCCTAGAAGAGTTTCAGGGCTGTAGTATGTGCTTAATAAATATTTGTTGAACAGATGAGAGACTAAATGAATGGAAACCAGACACACAAAGTACGATTTAATGTTGATCATTCTGTTTCAGTGATCAGGGGTCGGCTATAGAACAGGTCTTGGAAGCCTGCCCTTCACACAAGACATACTCTATCCTCCCTTTAGGGGCACTCTCTGAATACAAGTTACGATGTGTAGGCTGGTGTACGTTCTTCTACCAGCTAGTCTCTCTGCCTCCAACTTTCCTCAATTTGAATTATAAATCTTATACTATGCCCATATGAAAATTACCATGTTTACTACATCATTTCTCCCCTAGTTAAGGAAGTACAATAGTCCCTGACCTCTGCCAACCTAAATGTGAACTCTGAGTTGGCCCCATATATACGTTTCATAGACAGCTGTGGTAGAGACTGTCCAGGGAACTGAAAGAAATGCTGGCTCCACATAGGCTGGTCTTATTTTCCAAATCCAATTCTCATTAGAGGCCCTCAATTTTAAGTATTTTTCTTTTGGACAACCTGCTCTTTTATATATCGACAGCTTTAAACCACTCTTAAGCCACCACATCAGATGGAGACAGTTAATGAACAAATATTTTGAGCTCCCAGAAGAAGGAGCTGCCTGGAAATCACAAGCTACACCCAAATTAACACATCTTTAGCTTTAATCAGATACACTTTTGACTTAGGTGGATCAATAGAGAGAGGAGCCATAAAACATCAGAATTGCTAACTTATACTCTAAAAGGCAAGGTGTAAATAAGAACTTCATTGCATTTTTCAGCTCTCCAAGATCTTAACTTACATGCAAGCCTGCTCTGTGACTTTTGCACATTCACCTCTCAGCCTAGTTCTTCCCAGGGAACACTTCGTCTATGAAAGCAGCAAAAACCCACTCTTCCCCACATCCTTTGTATTACACCTGGGCTGTCTTAATCATGGTGTCAGAAGAAACAGAACACTCCATCACCAAGCCTTTGTTCATGCTGTGTGTTCCTCTCTCCCTCCTGCCCGCCCCCAGGTTGAGAACCCCTTCCTCAATATTTCCTGAATGAATCCTATACTTCACTCAAGTACCCCACCTCCCTATGGCCTTAGCTACTCAGGCCAACCGAGTCCTGGCTTCCTCTGAACTGCTAAAGCATTTACTGTCTGTGCCATTTGTTTGGGACTAAGTATGCCACACGGTTTGACCAGAGTTATCTACCTTATTTACTGGTGTAGGTATTTCCACACCAAGTAGTAAGTTCACAGGGCAGGAATATGCTTCACACATCTTTGGGTGTATGTTTCTGACAACAGTACCTTGCTCACTGGTTAATGGCTTTTTAAACAATACACTAACTTTGCTAATATAAGTAACCCTCCTTCCCAGTAATATCTTGAGATAGCATTTGAACATAACAGACCCCTTTAAACAAAAACAATGGATTTAGGCTAGGAGACAGAGGACCTGCATTTTTGTCTTTTTGGCCCAGCCACAAACTTGGCATGTGAATTTAACGTGGCAGATGATGTTTTCGTTTCTACCTTTGCAGGGAGACAATAATAGCTACTGTGTCAATATTGAAGAATGGTAAGGATTAGATGAGATAACCAATGTAAAATTGTTTTTAAGAGGCCAAACACTCCATAAATATAAAGTATTATTATCTATTGATAATCAACAAAACTGTTATAAACAAAAAGTGGAATATTTTGATCTATTTAGGAAAGAATTTGTTGTTGCTGCAGCCAACTTTAGCTGTATTTCAGTAAAATACTAGCTAAAAGAAGGTAATTCCCCAAGTGCAGTAAATAGAACGATAAAAACAATTTAATGTTCACGAGGAGGCATTTTTGTCAGACCATATGGACACATTCCTCAACAAGGCTACCGAACTGGTCTCCTTGTATTTATGCTTCCTCTATACAGTCTCTGTTGAACACAGTGGTTAACGTGATCCTTTTATTTATTTAAAAAAATTTTTGAAAGTGATCCTTGGAAAACTAAATCAGACAATGTCATTTTTCTGCCTAAAACCAAGGGCTTCCCAGCTCAGCACAAAACACAGCCCTCATGATAGTCTGTGAGGCCATCTCTGAGCTGGTTCCCATTAGCCCTGGGCTCACACCCTTCCTATTCCTTTCTCTGCCTAGTCAGCTTCATTTCACTGCCTTCCTTGCGAGACATGCTCCTTCCTCAGCGTTCCATGCCCTGGAATACTCTGCTCCCATATATATATATATATATATATATATGGGAGCTATATATATATATATAGCTTGCTCCTTCATTTCTTTTAGGTTTCTACTCAAATGTAATCTTCTTAAGAGAAGCTTTCCCCAGTCACCCAGTGGGAACAGCAATACCCTCCCATCACAGATGTATGTGTAAATCTGTTGTCTTGTCCTCCACTGTTAAAGGGAACCTCCGCAAATACAGGGACTTATCTGTTGTGTTAGCTACTGTATCTAGAATGGTGTCTGGTACTGACAAGAAACCACATTTGTTGAACAAACAGTGAATGAATGATATCTCTTCTAGAATGAATGATATCTCTTCTAAACAGATGGGGAAATGTGCTCGTCCAGAGATCTGGACCCAACAAGGAGTTGAATCTTTCCCCACTTAATGGCATATACTTCAGAATAAATACATTTCACTATTAATGAACACATTTTTAAATGACATTTTTCACTCTGGAAAGAATCCATCGTCATTCAAAAACACTTATTCAACAAATATTTACTGATGCATTAACATGTGCCAGATATTATGGTAGGTGATGTGGAGAGAAACATGAGTAAGACCTGCTCTCTGCCCCTCAGGCAAATGTGGCCAGGGACCTGCTGGCATATCCTTTTTTTTTTTTTTTTTAAAGATTTTATTTATTTATTTGACATGGAGAGAGATCACAAGTAGGCAGAGAGGAAGGGAAGCAGGCTCCCTGCTGAGCAGAGAGCCCGATGCGGGGTTGGATCCCAGGACCCTGGGATCATGACCTGAGCTGAAGACAGAGGCTTTAACTCACTGAGCCACCCAGGCGCCCCTGGCATATTCTTTTACCAAAATACAGTACATGAGATTTCAGGATAACAACACTGCTTATGTATAATTGAAATGGGATTCTCTTCCTGAACAATTGGCATACTTCTTATAATAAAAACAATGAGAATTATGCAACTAAAGAGCTCCCAAACTTGGTTGTGCATTTAGAAACAACCAAACCAAACCAAAACAAAAACCAAAAGCCAACTTTTGAATTCCACCACAGACCTACTGAATTGGAAACCAATCTAACCAATCTTTAGACCAGCATTCAGAAAAGACTAACATAACCTCCTGGATTGCTTCTGATTTAACTACTGTCTAGCTAAAAATATCTGAAGAGAAACTTCTCTTATTTTACTTTTTAAAATCAATTTTATTCATTTAAAACACCAATTTTATTGCAATCATTTTGAATGCAGTTTGACGAGTTTGACAAATGTATACATCCATGTATCCACATCACAAACAAGATACGAAACATTTGTGTGACCCCAGAAAGTTCCCTGTGCCCCTTTATAGTCAACTCCTCCCTGACCTCGGGCAACCACAGACCAGTTTCTGTTGTTACAGTTTTGCCTTTTCTACATATATTATGAATCCCATAATAAGTTGGGTCAGTGTTTAGAAGTTGTATCTGTCATTAATATTCAAAGTAGATATGCTCCAAATAGTGCAACAGTTGGTCTTGTTTTTTTTTTCAGTATCTGACAATTTGTGCTTTTAACTGGAGTGTTT